GGAGGGGATGGGATGGGGATGGGGAGAGAATGGGATGGGGATGGGAGTGGGAAGGAATGGGGATAGGATGGAATGGAGTGGAAGGGGATGGGGATGGGATTGGGATGGGGATGGGAATGGGGATGAGAAGGAATGGGGATGGGATGTGAATGGGAAGGGAATGGGGCTGGCTGGCTGGTCAGGATCCCTGCCCGGGCTGCTTTGTCCCCAGGGCAGCTCTCTGGGCAGCACTGGGGTTTAAGTCTGTCCAGCCACGTTCTGCCTGCCCAGGGCTCCCTGTGGGACACGGTGAGGGGGCTGGTGGGGTTATTTTTTTGTTTTAAGAAAAGAGCTTTATTTACATGAGGAGCAGTGGGGAAAGTGGGGTAAGAGTTACTCCAGGTTGTGGTTGTGTCTGGGGGAGGAGTTGGCCTCTGGTTTGCAGCCCCTGCCTGGAGGTTCTGCTGGTGTTGGCAGGGGAGCCTGGCAAAGGTGGGATGGCAGGGAATGCAGCCCCACACCTGTGGCCAGGAGCTTCATTTAACAACAAAAGCATCTTTGCACGGGTCTAGGAGTGCCTGAGGGGCCTGGCTGGGAAGTGCTGTGTGGCTCCTGGGCCAGGCTGCAGGCAGAGGATGAACTGTCAGTCTCTGCTCCTGGTTGTTGCAGCTTCCAAAGCTCTGGTCCAGGTGTGAAGGCTCCAGGCAACACACGTTGCCAACCAACACACCAGAATGTGCAGTTTTCTATGACTTCAACACCCTGCAGTTGCATCTCTAGATGATTGTGAAGAAGTGATGATCTCTGAAGAAAGGAAATGTCCTTGTTGAGGGAAGTGTTTTGGAGCTGTCTCTGTGCTGGAACACCTGATCATGTCAGGGTAGGACAGTGTTACAAAACACTGTTGAGTAGCCAGAGGGGGAGAACACAGTAAAAAAATCTGAAACGTGTGGGGTTTTGTGTATGTTTTTGCCCTTCCAGTCACAGGAGGTGCTGAAATAAACATTAAGGCACCCAGGAAGTTCTGAATCCAGAGAGACAATGATCTGTTCAAGGACTGGCTGAAGGTGGCCCTGAGTGGCCAGTTCCTGAAATCCCTCAGTTGCTCTGTTTTTCTTCTGAACTTGTCCCACCTGGGCTGTGTGCTGAGTTTTGTGAGTTCCTGGTCAATGTCAGATTTGTTAACCATGGCTTTTTCTTAGACCATCTTCTCCAGACACCCAGAGGCTCTTGCCAAGCAATGTTCTATTCTAGGGGTGCAGAAGGACTTTTCCTTGGCAAGCCCAGGGGCAACGTGTTGCTTGGTGTGTAATCTAAGTACAGGCTGTTGCTCTGGCATGAAAACAGCCCTGGAGGCTGATTTTTCCTTTTGTTTATCTGACAACTCCCCAGCAGATATTCACAGAGAAGGAGGGAACTTGCTGGATCCCACAGGAGGGTCAGGAACTGAGACACAGGAAGGGTGGCCAAGTGGTCACCTGTCCAGTGGGATGTAGCCCTGGGTGCACAAAGAGGTGCAATTGAGAATGTGGCTTTGTTCAGGGATGTAGCCCTGGGTGCACGTTTCTGTCTGGGGGAAAGAGGTGCAATTGAGAATGTGGCTTTGTTCTGAGCTGGAATGAAATCAGGAGTGCAAGAATGTGTCACTGAAAAAAATAATAATAAAACAATGACAAATTGCTAAGGTTTGTCTTGAATATTTTTCAGTAGAGTTTCCCCAAGAACAGGTACTAGTTTGTGAAATCTTCCATGTGATTCTTAGCACATTTCTCTTTCTCCTGCCTTTCCTGTCCTGGGAATTTGGGACACAGCCAGGCAAATTGCCTGCCTATGGCTCCTTTGAGTGTGCTGCTTTGAGTGTCATGTTTACCCAGGTTCACTGATTGTTTGAGGGGCAGGACAAGGACCCCCTGAGCTGCAGGAAATCCCTTGCAGGTGCTTGGCAGAGCCAGGTGCTACCTGGGGATGGGGAGAAGGTGTAAAGGAGAGTGTTTAGGGTTGGCAGACTTTGCCTGGTGGGGGTTTGGGGAGAGTGAGAGGTGGGTTGAGTCATGCTGGAAGTGGAGTTAGGCTTTCCAGTTGATGAGCTGGATCTGCCTTTCATCACCTGGGCTCTGCCTTCCCCCCACCTCTTTCCCAGGGGGTTTGGGCTCTGTCACCCACCACAGGTGAACATGCACACCTGCAGAGATACAGGTTGTGTGAAGGAGAGGGCAGGTCACCCTGCTCTGCTGCATCACCAGGTGTCAGCCTTGCTGTGAGGAGGAGCCACTGAGCACACACTGGGTTCCTCAGCAAGTGGCTGCCTCCCACAGGAGCCAGTTTTCTCGAAGCTGTGGAACACAGAGGCAGAGCTGCTTTGTACTTGAGCATCAGGAGTGTCTGCCAGTGAGAGCTACACTTTGCTGCACTTCAGTGAGT